GAGAGAATTAAAAATCCTTTTACCTAGACATGGTGGTTCACAATCAGCCCTCTGGGAGGCTGAGGCAGGAGAATTGTAAAAAGTTCCAGGTCAGCCTGGGCTACATTGCAAGACACTATTCCAAAAGCACACCAGCCAAGAGCGTTTTATTTTTTATAGCACTGGAGATTTGAACCTAGGGACTCACACACGCTACACGAGGGCTCTGTCGCTGCAATGATGTCCCCAGCCCTTACAGCCTACCAGTGTCATTTAGACTGGGCCTCACCCCATCAGCCCACGGACAGCTAAAGAAAGTTCTTAGAACACAGACGTTAATCCTGGACTTGCCCTGCCGCCTTGGACAAATCATAGTTCTTTGAAGGCTATTTCCTCAGCTGCCAAGGAAGTATTTAACGCTTGTCTACATGACGTAAACGTCAAGCCAAGGAGATACGCCCTTGGTGAACAAGCCCCGCCAAGAGGTAAGCTGGGACACTTTTTTTTCTATCAATGCATTTTAAGTATCAGTTTTTCCAAGTCTGGAAGTGGTGAGAACAGGGTCAGCTGCTTCTATGATTTAGGGTCTTCTACTAAAGCTCTCTCCTTTGTTGTAAGCTGGGGCATTCAACTCTCCTGGGGGCCTAGGCTCCATCAGGTTCTGGTTCGTGCTTCTGACATTCATGATGCAATGTGTCTGTGTGTGCTTGTACATGTATCTATCTGGTTAGCTGCAGCTGTGAGTAGAACACCACGAGATAATCAGTGGGAATGAGCTGCTACACAAGAGGCAATCGAGGACAAAGGAATCATAAAATTCCAAGACGTGGGAGGTAGAGGGAGGACAATCAGAAGTTCAGGGTCATTCTCAGCAATGTAGTAAGGGACCAGCCTGGGCTACAAGAGACCCTGTCTCAAAAAGAAAAAAAAAAAAAAAAGAAAGAAAAACAAAAAAGCCAGGTGTGGTGGTGCATGTCTTTAATCCCAGCAGAGGCAGAGGATCTCTGTGAGTTCAAGGCCAGACTGGTCTACATATCAAGTTTCAGGCCAACAACATCTGTATAGTGGGGGGGAAGGGAAAAAAAAATCCATGACAAGTAAGCATAATCCGTGATGAGCGGCCCTAATGACGTCCAGGTATCAGTCTAGCTTCTTGTATGGGAAGGCACTGACTCCATTTTTCTGTTGTTTGGCTACTGTCTGCTCTTAGAGCTCACTCCTTTCTTCTCCATATCTGGGACAGCTGTTTAAAAAGGGGAGTTGGAAGTCATTTAGTGATATTACACTTGCCTAGTATGGGCGAGGCTCAAACAAGCAAACCACCACCACGCAGCCGGAGAGACGGCTCAGCTATGGAGAACACTTGCTCTTCCAGAGGACCCGAGTTTAGTTCCCAGTACCCAACTGCCTGTAACTCTAGCTCCATAGGTCCTGACACCTTCTTCTGGCTTCCTCCCTCTTACACACACACACACACACACACACACACACACACACACACACACACACACACAATATCTTCAAAACAAAAACAAGCAAGTGCCCAAACGTTCCTTGCAGGCAGGTGATTCCCAGCATCTGCTAGAGACTCCCGTCTAGAGGGACCCATAACCACAGTAAAGGCTACGGGCTAGTCTTTCCTGGCTCAGTCCACTCCCTGACCAGCTGCTCTTGGCCAATCTCAATTATGTAATAAGCCTTTTTGTTTGTTTTAGGTGGCTTTCTTGCCTTAAGACACATCTCACTTTGCAGCCCAGGCTGGCCTGGAGCTCACTGTGTGGCAACCTCCCAAGTACTAGGATTACAGAGTAAAAACCACCATGTCTGCCCCGCAGTAACTTTTTTCATGGGTGTGAGGAACCAATGTCACACATGACACTGGGAAGGCCCCTTTCAGGACAGTCTGCCAGGTTTATCAACATCTCAAATTAACAGATATGGTGCCAAGGTCTACTTAAAATACCTATCTTAGGGAATAAGAGGTTCTTTGAGGAGACTGATGAGTTTTATTCAACATTGTACACTATAGCATCTGCCATGATACCTGCTACATGGTAAGTGTTCGATGTTTATATGTTGAGTGAAGAAATGCAGATGGATCTGTATGCTTATTCTGATTACTTATATTTTAAAAGTTGGTATGGCACAAGAGCCATCAAAAAACTGCTAAAGCTGGGGTTGGAGAGATGGCTCAGTGGTTCAGAGCACTGGCTGCTCTTCCAGAGGACCTGGGTGTTGGGGTTTCTTAGTGAGATCTGAGCTTGCTTTACCCAGCAGGGCTGCATAAGGGGATGGATTGAGCACGTGCGTGGTTACCAGGTGTCTGGAGGGTCTGCACTTGGCTGCTCCACTCCTTGGCATTTCTATAAATAGCCCTTTAGAAGAGACAGAAGGGGCTGGTGGGATTCGACCCAGGCCCTCCTGAGGCTATCCTGTGTTCCGATCTGTCTCTCCCCTCTATATTTTTATCTAAATATTTCCCACTTCCCCCTGCTCGAGTACCCTGGGGGGAAAAGTGGGGACAAATCCCCCACACCTGGGCTCAATTCCCAGCACCCACATGACAGTTCAAAACTGTAACTCCAGTTCCGGGGAACTTCACATCAATGCACATAAAATAGAATTAAATAATTTTTTTAAATTGCCAAAGCATTTGTGGGGTGATACAGAATTTAAGAATTTATGTGATCTGAAATGACACTCAAGATCTATCAAAGGAAAAAAAAATTAAAAAAAGATGTAGGCAAGTCTCTTAGAGAAGTCCACCATACCCATGCTTTCAGGCATCTTTTGAGTGCTTTTCTTTTTCTCTTAACTTCTAAGCTTGTGTGTGTGTGTGTGTGTGTGTGTGTGTGTGTGTGTGTGTGTGTGTGTGTGTGTGTATAAAATTAAACCCCAACTCTACTTCATACAAAAAGGAAGATATGGTTCATGGAAAGCATCACCCAATTGGACTTAAAATATACATAGAAGAGACAAGAGAATTGGGAGAAAGTTCACTAAGTGAATATCCTTGGGACCTGGGCTCATCCTTCAAGGATAACACATTCACTGGTGGACATCTTGCAAGCCCATTGTGGTACAGAGGACCATGTACCTGCACGTGGGCCCAGTGCCTTAACCTGAGTGGGCAGCTGGCTACCAGAAATATCTGAACCCTTAAGTCCACAGCTGCAGACCCCACTACACAGAAAGAGGGGTGATTTTGTATTTTGTTTGTTGATATAGGCAGTGCCTTACAGTGTAGCTCTGGCTAGCCTGGTGCTCACTCACACTGTACGAGGCTAGCCTTGAAACTCCAGGCAATTTTCCTCAGTCTCCCAGCTCTGGGATTATAGGTATGCATCACCACACCCAGCTGCTTAGTTTTCTGGGGGAGGGGGGCATGGGGACACACAACACATTGATCATATTTCACAAGTCAAGTCACAATTCTCCACCTGTGTGTTCATACCAAATGACCTTACCTGGAGTATAGGGATGTCAGACAGCCCATCACACCCTTTAGAAATGTCTTGGTTTAGAGACAGGGTTTTCTCTGTGTAGCTTTGCGCCTTTCCTGGATCTTGCTCTGTAGTCCAGGCTGTCCTCGAACTCACAGATATCCGCCTGGCTCTGCCTCCTGAGTGCTGGGATTAAAGGCGTGCGCCACCACCGCTGCCCAGCCAATCTTGGTTTGTTTGTATATCCCAATTTGTGTAAATTTTACCAATTTGATTGCCAGAAGGAAATCTTTATTATCCAATTTTAATACATTTTTTAAAGATTTATTTATTTATTTATTTATTATGTATAGAGAAGAGGGCGCCAGATCTCATTACAGATGATTGTGAGCCACCATGTGGGTGCTGGGAATTGAACTCAGGACCTCTGGAAGAGCAGTCAGTGCTCTTAACCTCTGAGCCATCTCTCCAGCCCCCAATTTTAATACATTTTTAAAATTTTTTAGTATTTAATGTTTGAAGGGAGAGGCTAGGATAATGGATGCCTGCTTCCCACCAAGCCCAACCACTCCATGGGACCCCCATAGTGGAAGAGAAACAAATCCACAAATTGTCCTGACATCCACGCATGGGCAGTGGCATGCCCGTTCCACCAGCATGTACATGCTTAAAAATTTCCATATGAAGAAAGGAAGAGAGGAAGCAAGGAGCCAGGAGCTGTGTTAGAGCTTGGACAACAGCTGAAAGGTTTTTAAAACTTAACCTAGAGGGTACAGATATAAGGCAGTTGGTGGAGAGCTTGCCTAGGGTACATGAAATCCTGGGTTCAATCCCCAGCACAGAATTAAACGTGCTATGGCGGCCCATGCCTGTAACCTCAGCACTCAGGAGGTAAGGCAAGAGAGTCGAAAGTTCAAAGTCATCTTCAGCTACACACTATTTGAGGCCACTCTGGGCTACATGAGACCCCATCTTTAAAAAGTTAATAAAGATTGTAACATGGTTAGAAAAAAACAAACCAAGTTTGTGTTTATACTTCCACGATCTCCTGGAGGAATCATGCAGAGATGTTACCTTCACTGGTCATACCTAGGATGGTCTTTGAAAGCAAGCTGGTCTCTTTATACCCAAAACAAGCATTAACCAGAAAGAGAGCAACAACCCCCTTTTCAGGGCTAGCAATGTAGTTCACCTGGAACCCCCAGCACAAGGAAAACCAGGCCGGATGGCACACATGCCTGTAATCCCAGTAATGATGAGTGGAACTGGGTACATTGTTACTGGGTACATTCTTGACTACATATCAAGTTTGGGGCCAATGAAGAAGGCTAAGTAAGACTCACCTATCTATCTGTCTGTCTGTCTGTCTGATGTATGTATGTGTGTGTGTATGTATGTATATATATATACATACACACACATATACATAAAATCAAACCTTTACTATTGTGCTTTACACTGACCAACGGTTCTGAATCAAGCAGCTGGGACTGCTTCCCATTACAGAGCCTTCCCTTTTGCACCTACCAAGGAAGGACAAAAAATAAAATAAAAGAGAGAGAGACAACTTGAAAACAATTAAAAGGATTTAAAAATTATTTTTATTACAATAAATATTTATCAATAAAAGAATTAAACAGTTTAAAACTAAAACCTACTGCTTTACTTTTGGAGTTCACAGCAGCAGACATGAACATAAATCCAGTTGAGAGGTCAAGGCTTCTAGAATCAGGTGACAAGAAACAGGTCTTGATTATCTGGACTAGCAGCAGGGAACAGTAACACAGATAATGCAAACATCACATTCAGACACATTCGGGGTAGTCTACTATACATCACATCACAAGACTTGGAACATTCCAGTCATGTTAAGCAAGCTGCAGAGCTCTGCTTTGGCAAGGGCAAGGATTTCCCTGAAGGAGTTCACAGGCACACTGCTCCCAAAGCTGCCGCCTGCTCAAAAAGGGGCCCAGAAGACCCAGAAACCTTCACCCTCACTCAACACAGCGGCCAGCACTCTCCAGACCAGTCTTTCTGGTTCACCAGTTCCCCGATGAAAGGGAAGTGGAAAGTGATACACCTAGAGGGCTTTCTCAAGGCCTGAGATGGCTCCGGGTAGGTAAGAGGCTTTCCATGTGGACCAATGGGCACACCAAGTCCACACACAGCAACAGTCTAGTGAGCTTACCACCTGGCCGATAATCAAGAGTAAACACCATGTTGATACCATATCATATGTACAGACAGAGGACAGGTGTACATAGTAAACGTGTGTATACAGAGCACATGGAAGCAGACTAAAGAAATGCTATATGTTTACCATTAGCACAGCAAGTCCTATACAGGCCAGCTACAATGAAAAGTACTTGAAAGTGGGAAGCTATGATGTCCTTTTGATCTTTATCTCTGATAGAATTTTCATTCTTTGCAGCGAACACGTCCTGCGTGCTCCCGTGGTGGTTTATTGGGGCGGAGGGGAAGGGATGGAATTGTCCTCTTGCTTCAGAAGACTACAGAAAATCCACTGGTAATGGCACCAAACTAAACTCCCGGCCACAATCCCTCCCGCACATTCTCAGCACAGGACATGAAACCTTACTCAAAACAGCAGCCGTTCTTTTTTTTACCGGCCATCATTTAACCCCCTGCCTGGTGGGAAAGGGAAGAGCAGGTGGCCTCCTTTACACACTGGTCATTGTGGTCTTCCACTCTGCCCCCAAAGGGGGCAAACAACGTTTTTTTTTTTTTTTTTTAAACTAGAATTCGGAGTTCAATACTGACTTCTGCTTTCTTGGGACATTTTGAAATGAGCTAATCATTAGTCTGTTGATTAATAACAGTAATTGGCAATAGATCAGTGATGCAGCCAAGTTAAAACAGGCCACTTCCAGAACCTGCTTAGTTACCTCAAGTACAAAATAAACAAGTTCCAGGTCATGAGTTTTTCTCTCTAGATATTAAAAAAGTGCTTAGCAGGAATACCACAATCAAGACTGCATCAATAATTAGTTTTGTTTATGAAAAATCCAAATCCACGCTTATTCTGATTGTTAACCAAAGAAACTGCTTCTAAGCTGTTGTAGCCACTGTGATAGAGAACACCCACAGTTTTAGTCCCTCCCTGGATAGTCAATGCGAGCTTTGATTTCCGTTTTAGAGCTGAAGTGGGCACTGGCCTCTCTTTCTATTTTAGACTTTCAATGGCCATGATCCAACTGCCATAAACATAGCCAGACTAAGTCCAGCTTTCTAAGAATGATTCTCTGAAAGGGAGACAAGAGGAACAGCCGAACAGCCCAGAACAGCCTTTCTTGTTCTGCCCAAAGGTATTTTCCTAGAGAGACAGCCCTTGTCAAATACTCTAAAATCAGTCCGTGTGGTACTTCCCAATCCTGGGAACCCAGCCTTCCTCACTAAATGAACAAAACCTTGTTCAGGCTGCCTGTGGGAGATCTCCAAATGGCAAACTCCTCCTGCTACCCTAGATGTGAGCTTGTTCAATGTCTATAAAAAGAACAGATCCCTGCTTAAAAGACAGAGACAATAGCCAGCTGCTGTACTATCTCTTGAGTGTCTGTTTATTAAAGAGCAAAGTACACCACTAACATGCAGGCTGGAGAGTAAGTTACATTTAGTTTGTACTGTAAAAACCCTGGAAATGAATCAGCCAGCAAAGCCAATTCCCGAGGGTCCATGCAAGGAAAAAAAAACACACACACACACATCACCACTTTCTCTGGGAAAGTTAGATCACCATGATTTACCACGTACCCTGAAGCCACTGGTCTGTTCTGATGTCAGTCACTTGTACCACTGTTGAAGAGGATTATAAAACAAAAAACCCAAAATATACAAATCACATGGATTACATAACTGATACAAGAAAAGCAGAAATTTATGCTAGCTTTTAAAAATTCCTAGAGCCTCACACATTCAAGTTTCACAGTGATTACTTCAACACCATTTTCCTGTTAGGAATGTCCCTTTCAATGCGGCACACTAGTTCCCGTTCTTTCTGAAAGGCTGGAGCAGGGGCAGCTAACTATACTAAGATTACTCACCCACGGGATGCTCAAGACAGGGCATGCTGCCTTCAAATGACATTTCACGGGACAAAAAAAAAATTCTGGTCTGACGTCACAGATTTCTAATAGACAAAGGGCTTGACCAGAAGTGAGTCAAGATAAGGCTCTGAACATAGACATCACCACAAAGAGTACTTCTCTGCTTCTGGCTTTGGGAAACTCAAAACTCAAAGCTGCAACCCACAGGTTTTACTTCCTTCTCTGGGGGAGTTCCCGGTCCTTCACCAGCCAAGAGATAAAATGCATTCGCCATCTGAATGTGGCAAGGTCTGGAGGCAACCAAGCCTGCCCTCAATGAGCTGTTTCTGTCCTGTGTGGTGGCTACAAGTAGGTTTCAAGTTCTAATTAAAAGGGAAAAAAGTAGTTGGGTGGTGGAGGCACATGCCTTTAATCCCAGCACTCGGGAGGCAGAGACAGGCAGATCTTTGAGTTTGGGGCCAGCCTGGTCTACAGAGTGAGTTCTAGGACAGCTAGGGTATCCTTTCTGGAACCCCACCTCCAAAGGTGGGGGGAGCAGTACTGGACTTAAATACCTCCAATTTAAAAAAATTATCTTTTTATTCTTCATTAGGTCATGGAGTTCAAGTCTGCTTTGGGAAGCAAGGTGCCACCCACACACCTTCTGACTACAACATATTCCTTTAATGTTCAGGTTCCAAGTCACAAGCAACATTCTTGGCATGTACTTAGCATATGCTAACCCCAGACATAAACCTCCCTCCCCAGTGCCTGAGCAGAGAACAAACGGCAGTATTAGAAGCAGTTTGTAACATCCTAAATCATGTTCAACGTTTTCTTTTGAAAATTGGAATTAAAAGTATGTCATTCGGAATTTTGAAATGCCCAGGAAGAATGGTTATATTTTTACTTCCAAGTTACTCTACGGCTCTAAAACCTATCAACTGTTACTATTTCTCAAGACAGTGATCGTGGCAATTTCAAGGTCATAAATATTATGGAAAGATCAGAGGTGGCAGCCGCTATCCAAGTATTGTTAACATCTTTCTGTCCCACACCCTCTCCGATACAGGGAGATTATTTTCTGGCAAGCCTGAAAGGGCCTTTTCATACCATGACCCGAAGAGAAGGCTCTGAAGATGTCTGGTATGCGTCCAGCAGAGTAACAATGCAAACCCCTAGACTGGCTAAGGCACTCTATTCCCATGCACAGAGAGCATGAAGGCGTGCTCCTGACCGCAAGGCCTCTCCCCAAGACACTGGGAAAAGCTGTGGGGTCAACTCACCCAAATAGTGTACATAAGCTTTCCGTACCTCTTACATCTGGGAAGTGTAGAGGAAGGGGCGTGACAGAGACGCACAGAAGCGTGAGAACCAAGTCCCTCATCCCCTCCTGTACCGCTACAACAAACGGGTCTTTTAAGATGCACCATCAGGACAGAGGACGTGAGCAGGCTAGGAAGGAGTCCCAAGTCCACAGGATTCTGAAACACTGACTGCCCGGTTCCGCCATCCTGTTAGTAGCCTTCTCTTCCACTCAAGAGTGTCAACAAAATTACCTAAACTAGAATTCTTTACCATCACCGAGACACGTTAAACACAAAACAAAAGGCACAAAACATATTTTCAAATCCACTTGATGTAATAAAAAGAGGATAGATACATTTGAAAGAAAAAAAAAGGGGGGGAGGGGCTCAAATTATAGGACATGATCTTCAGTATACTGCATAAGGTGAAGAAAGCCTGTGGTCCAAATTCATTATTTTATAAATAGTTATGTTATTTTCTTTTGTACAAATGATTATTCTTGTGTACAAGGCTAAGAAAAGAGTGAAATCATCAGCCAAAAACCTTATCACAAAGCTCTTTCCCGACTCTGAGTTGCCCAATTCAGTTCTACAGAGCTTGAGTACACAAGGACAGTGATCTTCATGTAACTGGCTTGTGTTCTGACCTCCATGATGGCAATTTATTAACGAACACAGAACCACTACCCACTTTCCATCAGTTTCTGCTTTCATATTTGTGTCTCAGAGAAAGTCCCCAAACACACCTAAGCCTTACAAACAATCAACACTGAGTACAGAACTGTGGGCTAGCTCCTGGATCACTTTCAACAGCCTACACAACCATGATTAGGATTTAAAACCGTTCAGGCGGAGTATCAACCAATCACTTTTTACAAAGCAGCAGACAGAAACTCAACAAAGAAATGAGCTACAATATTTAAAGATGGTCACGTTCATAGGTGATAACAGTTACAAATTTAATTACATATCAACACAGTGGTGCCTATCTTATCCAAGTGCAACCTACCCAAAAAAAAAAGGGGTTTAAGACACACTCTTCATTTAAGCACAAACCTCATTCAGTGGAAACTAAAATCAGCAAGAAATTTCACCACCAAACTAAATCAAGACAAAGCCCAAAGAAAGAAAACATCCAGTCATAAAAAGGTGAGATTTAAGAGATAACAGTACTGCTGAAGGAGTCTTTGTATTGTCAGTAAACCTCAAAAATTACTGAGTCGTATTAAGGGGGGAAATACTCAGTAAGGTATATATATCAAAAGTTTTCTTCAAATAGGGAGGTGGGAGAGTTAGGGGGGAGAGAGTCTCTCTGCCGTACTGGTGTGAGATTAAGAACCACAGCACCTCACCCCCAGGAGAGAAAAATGAAAGCAAGCCAAGACAGGTGGACAGGCAGTGCCAGGGTCGGATCTGGTCACCAGGAAGTTCTGAGATTCCTAACTCCAGTTTAACTTTTCTCTCACAAGGTACTGTGTCTGCAGCCTCGTGAGAATGGGACTGTCACCCACAACCTTTAGCATCAGAGCTCACAGGCACCCACCCAATCCTGACAGGAGGAAGTACCACAGGTAAACAATGAACCGTGCCACAGCGGTGAGCTGTACTTACAGTCCCTCCTCTACTGAGTAACAACAGAACACTTCTCTCTAAAAGAAAATGAAACCATTTATTGGCATTTAGCCACAGTAAGGGCCAGGACCCCAGACATCCTCTCGAAGTTTCCTGGGAGAACCACCATGATTTGGCAACTAAGCACTGTTGTTCAGTCACTGGTATCTCTGGCCAAAGAGACTTTTTTTTGACGCTTCTCTACATTAGATTTGGGCTGCATACCATTTCCGCAGCTAAAGACCTTCTATAAAGCATCAAATATTAAGACATGCTGTGGCTATCTGAACATTATTAGTGTTCCTGAATCAATCTGGGGGCTTCAGACATAAAAGTAAAGCATCCTGAACTCTGTATGAGTTGAGACATTATGGACTCAGACATAAAAGTGAAGCATCCTGAACTCTGTATGAGTCAAAACATTATGGACTCATGAAGCTAGGAACATTTAGTTGGTTTAATGTACACTGTGCTTAACCAAAATGTTTCATGGTTTTATAAAAAAATAAAGTTGGAAGTTAGAAAATCCAAAATTCCACAGCTCAGATCACGTTCATTCCTGCTTTCCACATGCCTGCCACACACTGCGATCCCACATCGGTCAAGTAGACCAGTTTAGTCCGATGGTGATGGAGGAGATATTTACAAGCGTCTATTTACAGGACTTCCTGAAGATTACAGGCCGACGTTCTTTTCTTCCATTCCTAGTCAGTCTGAGTTTGGTTTCCTCAGTGAAAACGGGTAAATTTGAAAATGGCTGCTCAGCTGCTTCACCTACAGAGAAGCAAACACAAGACAGTTACAACCCGCACCGGATTCTTCGGGAACACACTCAGAACTCACCCTCTCAGACAGTACCTTACTGACACAGGAAAACTGCCAGGAACAAAAAGGTTCTGCTGAACCAAGCTCTAGTCGCTCTAGTGGAGCCTTCTGGAAGCAGACACACTCCAGCAGCATGTTACACTCAAACCTATTGAGGAACTACAGGATTATCAGCCCTCCAACAGCTTGTAAAGAAAACAATTGCCTTGATAAGTTAGACTCAGTAGTTAGCTTCTTATAAACTCTGCCAGGAAATGCTTCCTAGCCTGGATAAAACAGTTAAAAATCAAGTCTGTGAATCTGAAGGCCGTGTTGGCTAGGGTATCCCCGGCAGGAGACAATTCTTCGATACTTTTCATTTATATGTAAGTCAAGACTTGGTGTGGTTTCTGGTTAGAAGTAATAAATAGCACAAAGATGGACAAGAAAGATGTTCTTTCTGTTAGCATGTTTATTGTCTAGATTTCTTAAAATGGTCGTTTATTTTTTAAGTGTGATTATTTTTGTCTGTAGGTATTGCTTACATGTATGTCTGTTCACCATGTGTGTTCAGTGCCCAAGAAGTCCGGAAGGAGGCATGTGATCCCCTGGAACCGGAGTTACAGATGGCTGTGAGCCTTCACGTGGATGCTGGGAACTAAACCCAGGTCATCTGGTCCACTGAGCCATCTCTCCGGCTCCCCTTTTTCTTTTTAGATTTATTTGGGGAGAGGGGCACATGTGTGCCACCATGTGCATGTGAGGTCTCTCCTTCCACCAGGAGGTTCTGAGACCTGGGAACAAGCAGCCACTTTACTGGCTCCATGAGAACTCATTTTTATTTATCAGTGCTGGATATGTGTATAGTGCATGTGTGCTGTGTCACACATGTGGACGTGTGGAGGTCAGATGATAACTCTGTGGAGTCAGTTCTCTCCATCCATCTTTATGGGGGTTCCAGGATCAAACGCATGTTACCAGGCTTGCAGGCCTCACCTGCTGAGCATCTCACAGGCACTATTGTCCAGATTTTACCAATAAATGTGTACTACTTTTATAATGTAAAAAAGACTGAAGGCTGCAGTGGGATCAGTGAGTACAATGCTTACACAGCATGTGTAAGACACTCGGTTCAATCCTCAGCACTGAAGAAATATTGGTACTGGGGCTGGAGAGGCGGCAGTGGTTAAGAACGTGTACTGTGCTTATGGAAGACGGGGGTTCAGTTCCCAGACCCACAGATCCACAGGACCGGATTCCCTCCTCTGGCTTCCACAGGCACTACACTCACATCACAACTCCACACACACAAAAGGGATGTGTTTTGGTGGAAATGCAGTTTCTAAAGAGACAATTCTAGCCAGGTGTGGTAGCACACGTTCACTCCAGCTCTTAGGTGGTGAGGCAGAGCTACGTGCCTCCAGGTCTGTCTGGTCTCTAGTCAGTTATAGACCAACCAGGACCACACTACATAGCGACACTTTGTTTTGAAATTACAAGACACTGGCAATAGCATTCTATCACTCATATGATCAATGAAAGAGCAAGATAATGCCCAAGAAAATTGGCAGAAAGCATATAATTAATCTTTAAAAATAAAAATATCGGGCTGGAGAGATGGCTCAGAGGTTAAGA